AGGTTGGCCAGCCATGGGAGGTTGGCTGTGGGAGTGCACTGATCACCAGGGGGCAGCTCCTGCATTGAGTTTCTGTCCCCTGGTGGTCAGTGCGTGTCATAGCAACCGGTCATTCAGTTGTTTGGTCACTTAGGCTTTTATATATATGAATGGGCTCCTAATAACAATAAAATTTATTTATAGATTTGAAACACCAAATAGAAAAAAAATTTAATATTTCCTACTCTACAACTTCATTTTCCACAAGCTTAAATAGTGTAGAGATTAGTAATAATAAATGTCACAGTATTTATCTTAAAACTTTTAAAAATAATCCAAAAATTTGTAAAATAATTATTCAACAAAATAAATATTAAAGGCAGATATAATCATAATTTTATTACACAGCTTATAAAATATCAGGCTCTGAACTTAGGTTAGTATTTTATTGTCTCAAGGGCACTGAAGAGCATGCATGAAAATTCAGAGATAAGATAGGATTTTGCAACACTCACAAACATCCTCAAGATCATAGCTTATCCCTCCCCAAACTTGCATAATTATAAATGTATTCTCCTAGTGTTGACACTTTTTAGATATACTCCTCACATGCTTTGCATTATTAATAGGATATTGGTCAGCATTAAATTTGACCTTATAAAGAGATGGTTATACCAGATCAATTGTATCTATGACAAAAGGACAGTCCTCAAAGGGGGAAAAAAGTGGTTTTCTTTAATTGTGCACCTCAGTTAGACTTCTATTCTCGACCTCTAATCCAATTAGCAAGTACAGAGCTGTGTGGCTCATCCTCCAAGGAATCCCTGTAGAAGTTCTGTTGAGGATCCCAAGAGGCTGCCTCGAAGAGGGGCAATGCAGGGACAGAGAAGATGGGCCTCTGGACTATCTTCATGGCTTCAAGTACTATCTGTTTTATAATTTTGACCCTCAAGTATGTTTGAAGAAAAAGTATCTCTACCTCAAAATAAATAAAAAATTATTTCAAACCATATGCTTACTGATATGATCTCAGCTAGACAGAACATAAGATTCTAAGGGTGCTTAATATTAACCCCTAGAGTGCCAGGGAGCGCAATCACGCTCCTCCTGTCTTTCGCCAAAAGTGCCGGGAGCGCTATCAAAGCTTCGAAATGGCATCCAGTTCTAAGTCTGCTTTTATTAGTGATGATGATATTGCTAAATATGTCAATGTAGTAAAGGTTTCCTTAAGTTTTTGAATATGTAACTTCATTTACTTGCGATTCATAATTTTTTTCCTAAACTGCTGTAAAATCACCAAAAATGCCTTGGCAATTTTAGCATAGTTCCTAGGATATTGGTTGGCACTCAAAGGGTTAATACCCTTATCTGGAGCTATTAGCAGAGATTATAGTCAGATGAAGGGCCATGATAGTAATATCTACACTAATATAAGAGAAACATGGTAATTGGCGTACGACCGCTACCCTTTTCATTGGCTAATCAGTGAGTATATGCAAATTAACTGTCAGCCAAGATGGCGGCCGGCAGCCAGGCACTGAAGCGAACAGGGAGGCTTGCTTGCTGCACGGGGCGGCGCCCCAACTCCCCAATCGGCCCTGCTCTGAGCCTGACCAGGGGCTGCACTTAGGGATTGGGCCTGCCCTCTGCCACCTGGGAGCAGGCCTAAGCCAGCAGGTCGTTATCTCCCGAGGGGTCCCAGACTGTGAGAGGGCACAGGCCGGGCTGGGGGACCCCCCTCCCCCTGCCCCCCGAGTGCACAAATTTTTGTGCACCGGGCCTCTAGTATATATTATATATATATAAATGATTTTTTTGTTGGAAGTATGACAGATATCCCCCTTTTCTCCCCACACTGATCCCCTCCACTTCCCACCTGCCTGTCCCCTTCCCCGGAGGCCTACTTGCACTATCGTCTGTGTCCATGGATTATGCATATATGCATATAAATTCTTTGGTTAATCTCTTCCCACCCCCCACCCCCCTTCCCTCTGAGATTCTTCAGTCTGTTCCATTCTTCCAAGTCTCTGGATCTAATTTGTTCATCAATTAATTTTGTTCATTATATTCCACATGTAAGTGAGATCATGTGATACTTGTTTTATTAGTAATCTATATGAAGGAACTAAAATTATAATCTCATTTTTCTACCCGATGCTAATTTAGGCATGTTCAGCAAACAAATGTAAAAGCAACATGATAAATTACACAAAAAACCATTTAGAAATACAATGAAGTTTAACTGGATCAAAATTTAGGACTGAGAGCAAACACATGAAATCAAAATGGAGGAGAAATATACAGGCCAAAACAGGGTAAAAATACACATTTTTACAGTCATTGTCTATCCACCAATCATGGTTTTTAAGAGGGGGAAAAATAGGCTAACAACAGGTGACTCTATTAATAGCAATACCATAAAGGCCAAGTTTTCTACTTTATTTAACCCTGGACAGGCCCTAATTAGAATATACTTTTTGTTAGTCTCATTTGAGAAGTTTGTTGAAAAGTTAAGAACTAGCAAAGAACACCACATACTAAATTATTATATGAGAAATAGTCTCATTTGAGAAGTTTGTTGAAAAGTTAAGTAAGGAGTAGCAAAGAACACCACATACTAAATTATTATATGAGAAAAAGCTAAAATAAATTGAAGTAATTACTTTAAAAAAGAGATGACTATGGAAAAATTTATTGCCCTCTAAGGCTATTAATAATTACAATAAATTGTTTTCCTGCCCTACAGAATGCTCAAGATGAGGGGTATATAAAAATGATGACAAAATGATGTGATGTGCTATAAGTGAGGCATTATGATAATAAGGATATTTTTAAATAATGCAACATCCAAATGGGAGACATTATAAGACTTTTTTAAAAATCCCTTTCCGAAGAAAAATGTGCATTCCCAACACTGGTTCACCTACGCTACCCCACTGGTTTGTCTTCTCAAATCTCCACCCAGGACACTGGAAATGTAGAGGTTTCACTGTGCTAAGACTCTTTGCTAAAGTTCATGTGTCTTCATACTCTCAGTGTTTCTACCTATCCTAGTTCCAACTATCCTTCCAACTTTGGGTTATTGTTAGTGCACTAGTGCACACAGGTAAAGTAAAATCCTTTGTTAGAAGAACGTATTTGGTAAAAGTACTTTGCAGTTCAGACATAGCACTGGTACGGGGACATGGCTCTCAGTCACATATGAACAAATACTTCCAGGCTGCTCACACATACAATACATCCTGAGGTTTCTCTCTTATATGTACAGTTAGCTTGCTTCCAGGTTTTCTCAAGCTCTGAAGAGCTAGATCTTATATATTGTTTGTTTGTTTGTTAATCCTCACCTGAGGCTATTTTTTCCATTGATCTTTTGGAAGGGAGGGGGAGAGACAGAGAGGCACATGGATGTGAGAGAGAGACATCAATTGGTTGCCTCCCACACACTCCCAAACCTGGGCTGCAGATGGAGCCTGCATCCCAGGTAAGTGTCCGTGATTGGAATCAAACCCAAACCCTCCAGTCCATGGGTGGATGCTCTAACCACTGAGCAACCAGTTAGGGCGATCTTATATCATGACATCTCTAGTTTTTCTCTATGGTTTCTTCCATCAGCCTGCCAAACTCCTTGACTTTTGTTGACCCCTTTTCTTACAAGGTCTCCGAATGATTCCATTTATATGGACTACTCAGTGCAACATAACTATAACATTCAGGCCCACAGGATACAAGTGATGCTCCTCCCACATCTCTGGGGCACTTCTAGTTCCATCTTATAATCTCAAGAACAGTCAAACCCAGGAGCTCTCAAACTGAACTCTACTCATACTTCATTTCACTTGCGGGTCTTGCTGAATCCTCTAAATGAAGCACCAGCCACTCTGCCGGAAGGTTGTGTATTTTGGCTACAAGGGCTTGATTGGCTGAGGTGGGAGGCTCTGGTGACACCTCTAAAGAGAGGTAACCTTTCACCAATAAATAAGTAGGTGGATAAATTGAATTTTTGAGATAATTCTGAGGCATGGTCTGTAGTACCCCCCATCCAAGTTCCCCAGCAGTAACAACCCCCAGTTGCCCATAGTGACTCATAAATACACCTTATTGCTTTCCTCCCTTTCCAGCCTCACTTCCCCTGTCTCACTTGTTCCTAAATAAACTAATGGTGAACACAAATCCTTACCACAGTGTCTGCTTCCAGATAAACCTATCCTAAGATAAAGTATCTCTATATCATTATCAGTACATTTCCCAAAGAACTTCCACTGTTTTTTAAATAACATTTATAAAATAATCCACATTCACATTTAAGTAAAAACAAATAGTCCTGGTCTCTGTATATGCACTGTGCCCACAACCGATGGCTCATCCTTGGGAAGAAAACATACCTGTGGGAAGATGGCACGTATTTCCCCAAAGAGACAACTCCCAGCTTCATGTGAGATTTATTACAGAAGACTGTGATTCTCTGATCTAGTATGAATGGGATTGGCCATAGAAATAACTTCTTGTGAACACATTTTCCTACCAATATCACTAGAGCGATCAGAAAGATTCTTTCCTTTCTGCTCAAGACAAGAATTGTGATTCTCTGATCTAGTATGAATGGGAATGGCCATAGAAATAACTTCTTGTGAACACATTTCCTACCAATGTCACTACAGTGATCAGAAAGATTCTTTCCTTTCTGCTCAAGACAAGAAAGCAAATGACTATATGTATTTTTCTTTGCCTTCTGATCATGCTATGTGACAGTTCAACAAATTCTGCATACAACGAATGCCATCATTTCTGCACACAGGGCCGTTAAATGTGCTCATTTGCATAAGTTATAACCAAATACACAAGTAAAAGTATTGCTTGTGACAGTAGATCTGACTTTGGGGATGCATATGAATTTCTCAATTTTTAATGGATTTCAGCATTGACATTATGGCATTGAAATCAAACATTTCTTGTAAGCATTCCAGGCATTCCAGCTGGTAACGAATGTTGCGATAATTCAATGAAAGGTAAAGCAAACTTACCCGAATCATCATGACTGAACATCTGATATCATGAATTGTATCATAGATCTTCTTTGAGATGTCCACAAATTGATTGTCATCAAACACATCCAAAGAGTTCTTATTTAGGGCTTCCAAGGCGACATTCACTTGTGTCACAAACTCAGGAATTGCTGTAATTGATAAGAAAGAGAAGAAGATTGTCTTGTTTATATTTTCTGATTTCTAAACCTTCCAAGAAATGGAGAATCATATTTTTAAATAAATATTTGATTAATATAATTGTAGTTATTTTTTTAATGTAGAGAGACAAAACATTTTGAAATTTCCAAAAAGTTAAAAGAATCAATGAGTAAAGAAACAATTTTATGGAAATATTTTTAAAGATTATCTTTTTTCCTTTATATCATTTTTGGTTTTAGCCAAGCCTGGAACCATGTTATCATTTCTCATCCTATCCAATAAGAGCCCCAAGAAAACCCAAAAAGAATTGATATAAATAACAGCTGAAATTGTAAACATGAAGATATTTAATGAAATAATTTGAGTTGCTAAATAGAAGAAAACTTCATTATATATACTAACTATGTATCATAGGAAAAATAGAAATACTGTAAACTTTCTTTGGTAAGATTTTTTTCCCTATCAACAAATCAAAAAAATCGCCGATCTTACATGCATTATGTTTCTAGCTAAAATAACATAACATTGAATGAGTGTAAGAATGCATCTATCAGTAAGGCCAATCCAGATTGTCTTTTTGATTAAGATTTAAAAATTATCTTCGTTTAGAACATTCATTAACTCTACACTATATTTCAGTCACTTTTCTAATTGTCCACTGTGATTGATTCTTAAAAAACAACCCAAGTATTAATCTGTGGTTAATAGCTGAATGACGAAGACACAGAGAACTCAATAATCCTGCCCAGGGTCATTCTGCTGACACATAACATAAGAGAGATTGAAGTCAGACTGCCAGAATGGAGAGTCTACTACACTAAAGCACTATACTGTATTCTATTATGTTTAGGTAATCTCTGTGCCATGTGAAGATGGAGGGGAAAAAAGCAGATAAAAGCAATGATTCTAAACCTGAGAGATAGAAATCCTTTATCTGTAAATGTTGGTGATATACATGGAAACTCGTATGTTATTTAGTTCCCCCTATTTTTTCACCTACTAAAATGTATCAGCTATATATACCCTACTTCTTAGCCACTATATCCATCAGGATGATCCACCGTGCTCTTCTCTTTGTCCATTCTCTAGGCTCACTGTCCAATAAAAAGTGGCACCTGGCCACATGTGGTTATTAAAAATTAAATTTCTTAAAGTTAAATGGAATTTAAAATTCAGTTCCTCAATCATACCACATTTTAAGTGCTCAACAGACATGCGGAGCTATTAACTACTGTTTTGAGAGTGGAAATATGAAACATTTCTATCATCACAAAAAATTCTACTAGATAATGCTACTCTATAGTGAGATTCCATCAAACAGTGTCTTACTTCCAGTGGGTGGGATACAAAGCCGAGGAGGAAGCTCACTCACACCACAATTCCCATTCATATGAATGTGATTCTCAAACTATATCTCTATTCTTGATCATTTTTTCTGAATTTCAGGATTGTATATCCAACTGTCCATTGAAAAATTATATCTGAATTTTCCTTAACACCCCCAGTTCTTTTTACCTAAACACATTTTTTACCTGAAAAAAAAAACACACGCTATTTTTCTACTATTTTCTATCTTTTATTATTATTATTAATATTATTATTATTATTTCAGAGAGGAAGGGAGAGGGAAAGAGAGATAGAAACATCAATGATGAGAGAGAATCATCAATTGGCTGCCTCCTGCACCCCCTCCTGGGGATAAAGCCAGTAACTCTGGCATGTGCCCTTGACTGGAATCAAACTAGGGACCCTTTAGTCTGCAGGCCAACACTCTATTCACTGAGCAAAACCCGCTAGGGCTACTATTTTCTATCTTGGTGTCAAGTCATCTCTGGAAAAAAATCAAGATGTCTTCTTTGACCTCCCATTCATCTTCACCCTCTCTATTTCCAAAGTCCACTAAGTGCAATACCCTCTACCATATAAATATATTTAAATCCATTGCCAATTCTAGACAACCGCCTCTAGCCACTATTATGTTCTGCTTCAGTTCTCACCATAGCCCTCCTGCCTAAGTTCTCATCCATTAGACTCATTTTAAATATAACCTTATTGACAAAACCTACTTGTCATTAGCACAACAGTATCTGCCACAAATAGATGCTTGATGAATTGTTTTATGAATGAGTCATGTCACAACACTGTTTAAAATTTTCTCAATGGTCTTTTTCCTTTTTGTATCCCAGTGCCTATCCTGGCATATAGTAGATAAGTAATTGTATGGAGTAATTTAATGAATAAATGAATAAATGTATATAATCCTATATAATAAAAGGCAAATATGCAAACTGACCGAATGGTGAAATGACCACTATGATGTGCACTGACCACCAGGGGGGAGATGCTCAATGCAGGAGCTGCCCCCTGGTGCTCAGTGCACTCCCACAGGCTGGTGAGCACAGCGGTGGCGGCAGGAGCCTCTCCTGCCTCCATAGCAGCGCTAAGGATGTCTGACTGCCAGCTTAGGCCCGTGGGCCTCAGCCAGTAGATGGACATACCCCGAGGGCTCCTGAACTGCGAGAGGGTACAGGCTGGGCTGAGGGACCCTCCTGAGTGCACAAATTTCATGCACCGGGCCTCTGGTATAATATATAAAAGCCACAAAAATGTAGGTACAATGCATCATGTTTGGTATGCATTGCAATGTGTTTTAGGTTTTGTTCACACTTGGGAAACTCCAAAAATATATTTATGTGGGCTTATAAGAGCATTCAACATATTTATGGTCTCAAAACCTATGATGTCCAATAGTTAACAAAATGTCATTCATAATCTTCCCTACTAAGGAGTTTTTCTCACCTGCTAAACAAGTGTGCCAGACAATAATTTAACTCTATCAACATCTTCAACCTGTTACTATATCTCTACAACAATGGAACTTTTCCATCATATTCCTATATAGATCTTGAGGGGGGAAAAAAGAGGAAAAAAAAAAGAAAGACAAACATAAGATCATGTAAATGTCTAGTTTCACTGTCATGTGAGATAATGTGAGAAAGATTTAGGGTATTTTAAGGAAAATAGTCTTTTCAATATTGCAACATGACTTCATTTAAATTCCTCTTGGGGCTTTTTACTAATAAACTACTATTGGCTCCAATTAAAATAAAATCTTTCAGAAGCAAGTGTTTAATTTCTGAAGTACAGCTGGAAACTACTACTTTTTCACTCTAATAGCATAAACGAACTATTCAAAGCTGACATGTAATGCATTTTTCTTTTCATTAGCTTAAACATCAGCTGTGTGTGTGCTTTGCTCATACTATGGACATATGGTTGCTTGGATCAGACTGAGAGTGAATCTTTTTAATGATTTCAAGAAAATACAAAATGAATATAATTAAGTAGCCAGTTAAAGGTAATTTAGAAGGAATAACAAGTTGACAAACCTGTCTTGAATCTGTAATCTACCTAAGCTTCAAGAAATTAAGGTTCACACATAATATACCATCATGTTATACAATTATTGATCAAAAGGGGAATACCTTAAATAAATGCACTCTAATCAATCGAAAGGCCAGGTAGGATAAACTCTTCTGAACTTTGGTGCATAGATTTATTAAACAAAGGTAGCCTTTTGGTCAATACATTGTCAGCTTTGAGTTTAAATTACCTTGTCTATTTTATACTGCCAAATTCGAAAGCAGTTCTGAACTCTTTAGAGGTCTATATGTTCTCTATGGACTTTATTCAGAATATAAAGAATAGCTAATATTCTTTGTTCACCCATCTTGGCACTGTGCTATCCATTTTATATGCATTGACTCATTTAATCTACACCACAGCCCCGTGAGGCAGGAAATACTACTATCCTGATCTTGCAGATGAGAAAACTGAGGTCACACAGCTAATAATTGGTGGGCTGGTAACTGGACTCCAGAGACTACTCTCTGAACCCCAAAACTACACTATTTCCTTTTGATAAGTAAAATCCTTGGGGCTTCTAGATTTCAGTGTACCTGGGAGAATTAATGTTAATTGTCTGGCAATGAGGTTAACAAACCTATAGAGCCAACTTCGCCTAGGCCTTGAGCCTTCTCTGCTAATTATCCAAGAATATTTTATCCCTTCTTAATCCTTGCTGTCTTATTTATTATTTATGTATGTATGTATGTTTGTATGTATGTATGTTAATTCTCATCTGAGGCTATTTTTCCATCGATCATATGAGAGCATGGAAGGAAGGGGGAGAGACACAGAGAAAAACATTGATGTGAAAGAGACACATTGATTAGTTGCCTTCCACATGTGTGTGACCAGGAAGGGCCAGGGCATCCAACATATTTATGGTCTCAAAACCTGGGTTGGTCTGCAAGCAAGGTATGTTTCCTTGACCAGAATCAAACCTGGGACACTTCAGTCCAAGGGCCGACCCTCTATCCACTGAGCCAAACCAGCCAAGGTGATCCTTGCTATACTTATTGCATGCATTTGGAAGTAGGTGAGGGTACAAGTTATTTTTTTATAGTTCAAAAGAGAATTCAGACTCCTTATAGGTCATCATCTCCAATGATGTCACCAAATTGTGTTTTCTATCATGAATAAAACGCATATTAAAACAGTATTTCTAATACTATCATTTTTGAAAACTACCAATGATAGAGGAATTTGGCTTTGGAAGTTAACATAATGCTGTCCCATTGCTTTACATTATGCTGAGTAAGTGGGAAGAAAGCTATCATAGCAGAAAGTGCAATTAAGCATATGCATGACGTCGACAAAAGCCCCATACCCTTCTTTAAAAAAAAAAGGCATTGAACAAATTTTTATTACCATGGTCCATATTTTTTTAATATTTAGAAAGCCAATATTATGCATGAAAAATGTGTTTGATCCTAACAGATTATATATCATAAAATGCAATGACTGGTGAGAATTTTGCCATTTTTCAAGTGGAAAAATTAATGATCTGAGTGAATGAGTGCTTTATGAAACATTACACAGTTATTAAGAGCAGTACTTCTAACCATACTATTCAACTCTACAGCTA